AGAGAGAGAGAGAGAGAGAGAGAAGAGAATTTTAATATTTATTTTTTAGTTTTCGGCGGACACAACATCTTTATTTTGTATGTGGTGCTAAGGATTGAACCCGGGCGGCATGCATGCCAGGTGAGCGCGCTACCGCTTGAGCCACATCCCCAGCCCAGTTTGGGTTTTTTACATAAAGATCTGTATATCATTCTGCAAAAAAAAAAAATAAAATGAAAATGTGTGCATTACTGGGAATTGAACTTGGGGCTGTGAGCATGCTGGGCAGGTTTTCTACCTCAGAGCTACATCCCCAGCCCTTTTAAATATTAAAAATAGAGTCTCTCTAAGTCACTCTGGCTGGCCTCCAGCTTGCAATCCTCCTGCCTCAACCTCCTGAGAAGCTGGACTTACAGGTGTGTGCCACAGCATCCAATAATATTTTTTACTTATTTTTGTGTTGCTGGAGATTGGTAAGTGTTCTACCACCGAGCTACACCAGCTGCCCTTTGTTTCATTCATTTAAGAGTTACCTACAGGTTGTCGGGCAAACAAAACAAACCACAACAACAAAAAAGAAGTCCTGGGATATAACATACCCTAGAGGGGGGCTTCCAAAGTGGGGAGAGTGAACATGAAGGTCTACCCTGGATGATTCTCCCCAAAATATGGTGCTATTCTAGATCCCTCTTTCACATTTCTGAAAAACATTCTGTGGATAATTACTGTTCCAAATGTGTTTGCCCTAATGGTTGGATGGGGTTGGAGGAGGAGTGTGGAGGGATTCTAACGTGATACCAACCTTGAGGGGAAGGTGGGAAGTCATACCAGTGGTGGTGGAGGGCCTCAGATGACAAGAGCTGGACATGCTGTTTGGAAAGAAAGGTCAGGACCTGGGATGCCCACAGCACCCTTGTTTTTTTCTGTTGTCCTGTAGCTTCATATTTAGGATCTTCTTTTGAGGGGAGGAGGTATATACATACCCATAAGATAAAATTATAGAGAAAAGCATGGAATGATTAGCATGAAGTTCAGATCAGCGATCCCTCTGGGAGAATGCAATGTGGCAGAGTCCAGGCGCCTTTAAGGATCTAATATTGTTCTGTTTCTTCATCATAGATTGGGGTAAAGGTGAACACTTTTTATTATCCTCTAAACTTTACATATACAGTATATCTGCTCATATATGATTTATTTCTCAAAGATTTATAAAGCTGAAAGGTTTATTAAGTAAAACTTTGTAAATAACCAAAGACTCATAATTAACAGTCTAGTTGAGTAGCATCGAATATCTGTTTAGCAAAATTCTAAATAGTCCATTAAAAATAATAATATTTCCTAGGTTCAATCCCCTGCACTGCCAAAAAAAATAATAATAAAATAATGTGGCCAGGTGTGGTGATGCACACCTGTAATCCCAGCTATTTAGGAGGCTGAGGCAGGAGAATCAAAAGTT